TTTTAATTTTTTCAAAATTTTATAAGGGGTTACATCGTTAAAATTTTAAAAAATGGACAAAAAATTTTAAATTTTAAAAATTCTAAATAGAGGATGCAGATTAATTAACCTAATAAAGACAAGCTTAGGAACGCTTTCCGAATTAAAATTAATGCATTTTTGACTGAGTTGTGAGTTTTTTAAACTTTGATTTGTCCAAAAATTTTCATGTAAAATAACTATATATTTAAACTGAAATTGCAAAGGGTATATAATCTTCGACCTACCGAAAGGAAACCTGTCCTGTTGATTTCCATTTTCAAAAAAGAAGAGATAAAATATAGAGAGGTGGCAACCCTAGTCTCGCTTGTTGTCTGTCTGATGGTCAATTCCATTTCATTCCATGCCAATTTTCGCTTGGCAACAAAATCCCAAAATGTGAATTTTGCCGACATGATGTGTTTGTGCCGTAGAAAAACAAACAATAATAGCAACAACAGCGAAAGACCATCGAAAAAAGTAACAACATCAAAACGCTAATAATGCCACTTTCACCACAACACCAACAAAAGCAACAACAGTAATAACATTAGCAAAAGCAGAGCTTTGCTTTGTGGTGTTGTGTTGTGCTTTGTTTCACTAATTTAAATACATTTATTCTCACGTATATAGTGTATTTGCAGGGGTTAATCAACGTTTGTAATTAAAATGCACACACCAAATTTTCGCCTTGACAACAGGCAAATAAAAAATACAACAAAAAAACTAATCGAAATCGAAAATCGAACTTGAAACAGCTGTCTCTTTTTGCGGCTGTGTTTGGTGTGTATGTGTGTGATTGCAATGTCAGAGGCAAGGCGAGCTTGATGCAGGTGTATATGTGTGCCTGTGTGTGTATTAGAGGCGGCGCCCCGGCCAAATGTAAAAAAAAAACGGGAAAAAAATAAAAGAGAACAGAAACAAAAAAAAAAACAAGCCAAGCTAAGAACTCGCGCCCTCTCCCGCTCGCACACATACGCATGCTTTTTGCGTCGCGTGTCGTTCACCTGCCAAAGAGCGGCAGAGAGCCAGAGAGAGCGCTCTCTCGAGAAAGCCACTTAACAGTGAGTTAACAGCTCTAGAGAGAGCCACTGAGACAGAGAGAGAGAGAGAGAGAGAGCTGGCAGCGCGTGTTTTTCGTGATTGTTATTATTTATTATTTTTATTTGCGCCGTTAGTGTATGCCGCAAAACCCTCTTCCCTTATTTCCTCCGCCCCTTTGTGGCAAATTTTCAATAAATAACTCAATTAGTTAATTAAATAAACACTCTTCTCTTACAATTCCAGCAGCAACCACAACTTTACAGAGGAGCGAGAAATACAACAAGGAAAAACCGTCAACATAAGTGAAACAACACCAAATGCAGTACAGTTTTTGTAATTTTTGGTTAAAACCTCGTGTGTGATTAAAAAATAATGTTTGTGCAAAATGTTGGGAAAAGCGACACACAAAAACAACAACCAGAAACATAAAACAAAAACTACGATAACTTGAAAACAGAACAAAAAATTAAACCAGCTCCAAAAGCAAAATAATCCGACAATAAAATAAAAAAGAGCAAAGCCCAAATAACGAATCGCGGAGAAAACGAAACGAAGAAGAATCGCATTGCGAAGAAAGCAAAAGAAAGCCAAATCGACAACAACAAAATACAACGCTTTTCGGTTTCTTCTCAGATTTCCCTCGCGCGCACCTCTGTGGGTGTGAGTGTGAGTGTGTGCTTGCGTGCGTGTCGTGTCGCGTCGCATCGCATCGCGTGTGTGTGTGTGTTTTGTTTTCATTAGAGCACACACACACGCCGCCCATTGTCGGTGTATGTGTCTGTGTAATTGCAATGGTAAACGGTAAACGGTAAATAAACAATAACATCAGCAACAACAACAACAACAACAACAGCAGCAAGAAGAAACCACCAATAATTCAATGTGCGAGCAGTAATAGTGCGCTTTTATTGTCTCACTCTCCAACACTCAACACCAAAGTGTTTCCTTTTCTTCTCTATTTTTTTTTTCTGTTGTAACTAAATGTGTGTTTTTTCTTTTGACAATTGCAAATAATAATTGCAAAAAGGAAACAAACAAAAAACAAAAACAAGGAGGTAAAATACAACAAAAGACTTAATATCTTGTGTTCATAATTTTAAACAAAAATTCAACAACAAAAAGTATTCGACGAAAAAAAGTTCACATCAAGATATATACGAGAATATATATATTAAAACATATAAAACCATACACCGTAAATATACAATATTAATAACTTGTAAACGAACAACAACAAAAATGTAAAAAAATTACACATACAAATTATACAACAAAGTTGCAAATAGGCAAGCAACAACAACGACATAAAGGAATAAAAGAAGCAAAGTATATAACGAAAAGCTAAAGCAAATCCGACAAAAATAAATTAAAATTAATATAAATAATATATAAAAAGTAAATGAAAAATTCGACAAATGTTTCATTATTTACTTCAATCAATACCAATCGCATGAACAAATAACGCAATATATGTATATATATATGTATATATATAATCACAAATATATATGTGTATATATGCATATATATAAACTAATATATAGTAGGTGTAAAGAGAAGCAATCTTCGATTCATTAATCAGCGCAAAACCAACAAACATCAGTCCCCATGTATAGATTAGAGGATACGAATAGCGGCGGCGTTATGGATAAGAATAAACAGAAACGTAAGTATTAATTATCCTTTTATTGCATTATTTAAATTTTCGTAAAAAAAAAACAATTTAATTTAATTTTAAGACTGCAAAGTATTAGGTTTATCTACAGGATATCTAAGTGTATGTTATACCAATGTGTTTCTGTTTTTTGTCTCTGGAAAAATTAACTAAAATTTGTTTAAAAAATGTTACTTATTACCAAACAAATCTGATTTTCCCTTAAAACCTTAAAACCTTTTGAGAATCCATTCCACGGATGGTATCTCTGTGGATAGATCTTTATTAGTTAGTCAAATGTGGAGTTGGGTGTATAGAAATAGACAATACCAGATGAACTTTTATATGTGAGAGGGTAGAGCTTGGATTTGTTGCTGATTGACAATTTAGCAGCTAATTCCAACTGTTACCAACCTGCACGAGTGCAACAATATCACTGCATTCAGTCAACAGTCAACAAATATATACATATATAGTGTCAACTGTTTGCTTATCACTCAACCTGGCACTCAATGTCTTCAACATCATCGTCACTGTTTTCCCCCCAAAATCCATCGTACTGTTCCTGGTACTGTTTGAAAACCCCCCTGACTCTGGAATCGGGGATTTCCCCCATTTGTCACCTGGAAACCTAAAGGGGGTGAGGGGCGGGGGGTGTTCCTGTGTTCCTGATTAGCTTGGCGCCATCTGTTCATAAACTTGTCAAGTGGACGCGACAACAACTTGCTGTAATTCATGACATTAGCTTTTCAACGGGAACAGGAACCCGAGACCCCCGGCACTTGATGGTGAGTCACCTGTTCCGGATGTCGTTGTGTCCCCCGCCTTTAAATGCAATTATCGATGGAGGTTGTTTATAAATGCGATCCCCATTCCTGGGCCAAAATGCAAGTGGCCAAAACGCAAAATGTCGTCAACTATTTTTATTTTCGACCAACAGACGCGACAGAAATTGAGAGGGAAGCAAGGGTTTGGATTCGCCACGGATCGTATCGTATAGGATCGGTTTCCTATAAATAGACGCTGCTAACTAACCGACTCTATTTCTTTTTTATTCATTTTTTTTTTTTTGAGGGGCTCTAAGCTCATTTATCATTTAACTTTTCCATTGATTGGCAAGCGTTGAATTTCTTTGTATATAAGTAAACATTTTCTAATTGCTACAGCAAGTGTTTAGTTTGGAAAATCGAATGAGGGCATCATATTAGAGAAATCTATTAAATTTCCAAATTAAAAGTTATGAAAACTTTAGAATTTTCTTGACTATTATGCGCGCTATGTTATAATATCTCTTATTTGAATTTAAACAATTAAATGAACTCATGTGCACGCTTTCTTTGTATTTCATGAATTAATTACATTTTATTTAAATTTCCTTTTTAATGTGCTTTTGTTTTGATTTCCTTGTCTTGACAACAGACAACGCAAAAAGGCGAAACAAAGAAAATGCATTTATATGTATCTCTGCGAGCACGAGACAAGTGCTAACTGTTTTCCCCACCCACCAGCATCGTCTCGCTTTCACGATCTACTTGACTTTATTTTCTTTTTACTTTACTTTTTTTTTATTATCGAATTTCCATTACCTCAAAAATACGAAACTCAATTGGCGCTTTATTTCTGGCCAAATGGAAAGACGGAAATATTGCACCTTTGGTAAACAATGCAACTGGAAGAAACACTCTCTGAAAAACATAAATTTAAACCGAATAAATCAATTGTCATTCAATACGTAGGTTTGGTATCTTGATCAGATTCACTTGAATTCAATATTTATTTCCAGACTCAATGGAAAAGTTATTGCTTGTTTATTAAATATAAAACTAGGGTTTGACTGGCTCACCAAATCAAAGCAAGTAATTAATTACAAATGTTGGTTTAAATGGGGAAAATTATAACGTTGTATATTCAAACTTGCCAACACTGATCTCCTCAAAAAGGTCTTTCCAACACTGGTCTCTGGTTTATTTTAAATTAATTAAATTGTCACCGGGCATCTTCATTATCAGATCGTGATGATCGTTGCACTTCCCAATCGCTATCTGTAGATCGTTCGTGTGATCCAACAGAAATTCAGCATAAATACAGAATAAAAGCTAAAGAAAACAGCAAGTGGACGCGACAGAGAATACGGTTCCGTATAAATAAAACACAGACTATTATACACAACGAGTGCCACCTTTGGGGCCAGTGCAGCGACAGTTTGCGTTTAATTTTCACGCGACGCGGATCGTACTAAAGTAAAGTCTTGTCTCGGAAAGCAAAACAACTTAACTAAGCTATGGTGGAATGATTTATTTAATATAAATCCTGGAAAAACTAGAAATATAGAAATCTGAAAGTGAGAAAGTGATACAAAAAGGACAAACATCATGTCGGCAGCTCTAGTTTATTGGCATTCAACGACAAACGGCAGGGATGCTGTTGACAAGTCCCCCACCACTGATTGGGCACCTGATGGCCACCTGAACCTGAACCAGAACCACCATCAGCACCACCACCACATACACAATCACAATCACAATCACAATCACAATCACAATCACAATCGCCATCATCCGCCTCATTACATCAATTATTTGGCGCAAATTGGCTGCCAGCATCGTGTCAGAAATTGGCCAACAAATGGCAATCAGGATGACGGCACTGCCGGCGCCCATCAAATCATCTCAAAATTCCAGCCAAAAAGTGCGTGGAGCAATCTTGTGGATGTGGATCAAGTCGATGGCAATCTGTTGGGAACCCAACTGGAATCATCAAGGTGTGAACTGGCGCCATCAATCTATAATTGTAAGCTAAACGGATGGGGGGAGGGGCTACCGGATATTAATTAATAATTGGTTTACTTGAGATACAAGAATGTAGGTGAAAATAAAGCATTGGAAAATACTTTATAATCAAATAGTTTTTAATATTTATTTATTTATTTATATAAAGCTAGCTGTTGGTTGTAAACTAAAGGCTAACTTAGGATAATGAGCATTGGAGTTTTTAATATTAAAGTCACTGATTATTAATAAATAAAAAGCGGAGCAGATATGTAAACAAGTTTTTTATACCATCAATGGTATCCAAATTGTATATTCTTAAAAGAAAACATTACTATCTCTTGAGGTTAAATAGAGTATATTTTTGCTTGGCTTTCGTGTTCTTTTGGCGACTTGTTTATATTCGTTGTGTCTATTTTCGTTGCACAAGCCAAGCAAAAAGGAAAACAAAAAACAGAAAAAGTGAGCAAGTGTAATGGTCAAAGTAGAGAGACTTAGGGGAAAAAAGAATTTTAAAAAGTAAAAGAATTCGGCAGAATTATGTATAGTGCTTGCATATTGTGTAATAATTTCAGTTCCGTCTGGTTCTAAAATTAAGGTAGAGCATTTATCTCTTCCTACTGCACAGTGCACAGAGAGAAAATAGGAGACATTTTCAATAAATTTTAAAAAGCAATTAATAAGATATAATGTAAAAAAAACATTGAGGAAAATTATATACATTTTAAAGGATTAAACCTAGTAATAATAAAAGACAACATTTTTATCTCTTCAAAGATAATATAATAATACAATATTAAATAACTAATTAGCTAAAAAACAAAGCTTTAGTTAAAATATATATTAATTATTATATGAATATTTCTATATTGTTATAAAATATATACCTTTGAACTATATTTCTATAAACTATATACTATATACAAGTACAGATTTACTCCCCATTTCCTTCAGTGTACCTGCCTTAAACCCTTCTCCGCTCTTTACTCGATCTTTTATCACTATTTTGGCAACTCTTGGCGGTGACGGCGTCAGGTGTGCCCCGAAAACAGGTGCATTTCTGCACCAAAGCGATTCGGTCAATGAACCAGCACATTAAGCTTTATATACACTCTGTATATATATACTGATCTGATCTAATACCGCTTTCTTTATCTCTTTTATCTTTAGTATCCGCTTATGGGTCCAGCGCGGGCAGCGTCGCCGTCGATGCAGCGCAGGGCAGCGGTAGTGGGAGCGGCGGCGGCGGTAGACAGCGTCATGCCCCGCTTTATGGACGCTTTGTTGCCGAGGACGATCTGCCTGCCACGCATCGAGATGTCATGCATCATGTGAGTATCAAGAATTTTTAAATCCAATCCAAACATTCCCCCTACTTTCTCTTAGATGCAAAAGTTATGATATATATATATATATTTGTTTTGATTTATTTGAAAATATTAAACTGTAGTATAACATTTAAATTGCATTTAGCAATTACTCAATTAAATATTTAAAGAAAATTTAATCAAACTTTAAAACTAATATAAAAACAAGATATAGTAGTCAGATTTTTAGAAAATTTTACACAAAAATTCTAGAATAATATATAATGGCTATATATTAAATTTGATCAAAATCTGTTGAAAACTGGAAAAGTTATATATATTTTTTTAATTTTCCGATTGTTCCTATGGCAGCTATATGTATATATGTATATATATAGTGCACCGATTCGTCATGCTCCAATTGATATACGAGTAAAATTATATATAAGAATAAGTCCATAGTTTCATTGAAATAGCTTAAATTTGTTCAAAAACAAATCTTGCACATCTGAACATATGATTCCCAACTAGTTCTAACATCCCCGGGACGAAGTGACTGTTGCCGGCCACGTCTCAGATATGTGTTGTGTTACAAAAGTTGCAAGTCATTGTTTACAAGTGTTCAAAGTTAGTTACTGATCATACATACATACATACTGATCATAGATACTTACTGATCAAAGTTACTTACTGCTCATGGGTAATTACTAAGCATAGTTAATTAGTGATTATAGTTACTTAATGTTCATTGATACTTACTGATCATAGATACTCACTGTTCAGAGTTAATTACTGGTCATAGATACTTACCGTTCAGATTTACTTGCGGTTCATAGATACTTACGCACTCTTGTGCATATGATTCCCAACTAGTTCTAACATCCCCGGAACGAAGTGACTGCTGCCGGCAACGTCTCAGATATGTGTTGTGTTACAAAAGTTGCAAGTCATTGTTTACAAGTGTTCAAAGTAAGGAACTGATCATAGATACTTACTGCTCATAGTTACTTATTGCTTATAGTTACTTATTGCTTATAGTTACTTAATGATCTTAGTTACTTACTGTTCATAGTTATATGATGATCTTATATGGAGTGCAAGTTAAAAATGCAGAAATAAATATACATATTGATTTTTTATTAATTTCAGAATCATATTGATTAACTAACTTTTTCTAGGTATATTAATGGTACACTTAATCTCTGTAAAGCTCTTTAACGATATCAAACCCAATCACAGTAGTTGTCATATAAGGGAGGCATATAATACTCCAGTTTACTTCGTCACAGACACCACTGTACCATCACTCGACACCCAACCATATGTAAAAGTAATTAATATAATTTTTCCATTCGATTCCCATTCACAGCACTCTAGTCCCTCGTCGTCGTCGGAGGTGCGCGCTATGCAGGCCCGTATACCCACACATTTTCGGGATCCCTCCTCAGGACCGCTACGAAAGCTGAGCGTTGATCTGATAAAGACCTACAAGCACATCAACGAGGTAAGTGTTTAATTTTTTGTAATCATATTAAATAATAATATAATATAGATTTTAAGAATAATAGTCTAAAGTATATTTAGATAGTTCAGTTTAATCTTTTTCGCGGTGCAAGAAAAACCTTGGCATCCATCCCGTTGATTTAATTTAATTTTCCTATGACGATCGGAATTTTTTCGGGGGTTTTTCGTCTTTTGTCTTGTGCTAGGAGGTAAGGTGGTGTGTGACTATCTGCTGACAGCGGATATTTGTGGCGTTGAGCTGGGCTAAAGATACGTTTGTCCTTGACCCTATTTGGCGGGTCAATCGCCCCTCACACCCTGACAGTTGACTTCGATTGACGTCGTCTGCCGCCTCAGTTGACAACAGCTAAGCAAAAAGAAAAAAAAAGGAAAATATATATGTATATAAATAAATAAATAAATAATGAAAGCGAGACAGAAAGCAATCGAGCAACCAAAACGCACGCAACGCAACTGTCTCGGTTTTTCCTGCCAAGTTCTAAACAAAAAAAAAAGAGCCTGCAATATCTTGGCTTTCATGACAACTGATACATAAGGATATGACGATATATGATAAGGCGTCGCCCCTAAATTGCTTCTTATTTTTTACCGTTGGGTGATTGTCCTCTTTTCTGGTCATATAACATATATACTTAGTTTCATGTTAATATTTATACGACTTGCACGCAAGAAGTGTGGTTCCTCAAATGGTATTAATAGGTCGATTATAGTATCCTTCATATCAATAGAAGTATTTTCCTTGAAAACTCCTTGTTTATAGAGTTACTTTCCAATTAAAATTAATATTTTTAGGAGTATTTTCCAATTTAATTTCAAATTTAAATGTACTTATGTTAAATAGTTTATAAACAAAAAAACAAGAATAGAAGCTAAAGTCAGCAAGAAGCCAAAGTTTGTATACCCTTAAAGTCTGTAATTGTATTTTAAAATTGTTTAAATTTCTTAAAAATAAGTACATTTATTTTTTATTTTTCCCACAAATGTAAAGACAGTATTTATTATGTTTTGTGATTCAATGGCATAACGTTATTTGGTCCAAATAACGTTAATGGCTTTGAGGTATTGATGTCGCTTAACAGTTAAGCGATTATTTAACATAAAGACAGTCACAGTTCCAGTTACAGTGGCTATTTTTGACAGGTGCTCAGGTGCAGATTGCTCTGTTCTTGACACACGTCACATGGCTGCGGTGACAGTTACAGTTACAGCTAAAGTTACAGCTACAGTTACATTCACAGTTACAGTCACAGTCACAGGCTATACAGTTGCAGTTACCGATGCATTTGCAGATGTTTATGCCGTAATACAGCAATTGCCTTTTTTGTTGTCTCCGTTTTGTATGCTACAGTTTTTTGACTCTCTGGAAAAGAGAGAGGGAAAAAGAGAAGGAAGTAAGCAAGGAAGAGAGAATAGTAAGGACTTAAGAGTATCCAAGAGAGTTGCCTTAGAAGAGAAAGAAAACTCCTAAGCATCCTGTAAACCATAAATACTTTCTAAGATAGCTTAAGAAAATTCATTTCAAGAAACAAATTATAATAATTTGAAAAGAAAAAGTTGTATGTCCCTTAAACAAGGACTGCTTTTGCAGGCGTCTTTTAGGCGTTGTTGAAAAATGTTTATACTCCATTCTAACGCTCTCTGACCGCTCTCTTACACACTTGCACAGTCGCTCTCTGGCGCTCTCTTGGCAGCGTCTGCAATGTGTCTCTGTCTCGTTCTCTCCACCACCAGCTTGCCGCGTTAGCAACAACTTTTTTCGCCAAGCTGCATGCAACCTTTTTTCTTTCTTTCTTCTTTTTGCTCCTTCCTTTGACCCGCTCCCATGCAAGAGAAGAGCGTGGCGGGGGGAGCTAAGGGGCGGCCAGGAGGGGCGTCGCCCTCTTTCGCTTTCCCCCCTTTATTTTTATTCCATTTGCCGGTTTTCGTGTCTCTCGTTTTCGCTATTTTCTCATTTTGGTCGCGTTGATGAAGTGGAAATAACGGGATAACTGTCAGCTGACCAACGCAATGCAATTAATTAAATTTACCACCTGCAGTCGGGACAATATATATATATACATATATATATTTTTATTCTATGGGTGAAAGTGGAAGGGTTAATTTAATAAATAGCATTTGAGCGTTTCTTTTGGGGGTTTGTTTTTGTTGCGGTATTTATTTTTTCTATTTAAAAAAAGAGTAAAGAAAAATGAGTGGCAGGGTTTATAATACTTTTACTTAGTTAAGGACAGGTGGTAATTGCTTAATTAAACCTGAAATTCTAACTTATTTGGAGGCCAATTTTGTTTTTTAATTAATTAATTAATTTAGAAACTAGGGGCTTACTGTAAATTTAATCCAGCATATTTAAAACAGGAAGAGAAACTAACTACGGCACGCCGAAGTTTAAATATCCTTGATATCTATCAATATTTTAATATGTATTTAATTTCAGCAAATTAAAATTTAAAATTTCTATTTAAAAAGAAAAAAGTTAAAAAATTTGGAACAAAAAATCTGCTGGAGATATCTAGATAGATTCCCCTGTTAATTCTGATCAAGAATATATGTATATGATTTATAGAGTCGGAAATTATTTATACATTTTATAGTATTCCGATTTTCATAAGTTTTAAGAATAACCCAATAGTTTCATTGAAATAGCTTAAATTGGTTTCAAAACAAATCTCGCACTTCTGAACATATGATTCCCAACTAGTTCTAACATCCCCGGAACGAAGTGCCTGCTGCCGGTCCCGTCTCAGATATGTGTTGTATTTCAAAAGTTGCAAGTCATTGTTTATTAGTGTTCAAAGTTAGGAACTGATCATAGATATTACTGTTCATAGATACTTATTGTTCAGAGTTAATTACTGATCATTGATACTTACAGTTCATACATAAATACTTATTGGTCATAGATACTTACTAATCATAGTTACTTATTGCTTATAGCTGATAACAGCTCATAGCTAATTACTGATCATAGATACTTACTGTTCAGAGTTACTTAATGTTCATTGATATTTACTGATCATATTTAATTACTGATCATTACTTACTGGTCATAGATACTTAATTTTCATTAATACTTACTGATCAAAGTTACTTACTGGTCATGCTGTTCAAGAGTATATAAGATTTATAGGGTCGGAAATGATTCCTCCATTGTATCAATATATCGATAAAAATATATACAAGTATTATGACAATATCGCTACATAATTATATATTAATTAGATATAATAATATATAAATAACAATAATAAATTTGTATTTATAGGTTTACTATGCGAAAAAGAAACGCCGTGCCCAGCAAACGCAGGGCGATGACGATTCGTCCAATAAAAAGGAGCGGAAGCTGTATAACGATGGCTATGATGACGATAATCACGACTATATAATCAAGAATGGCGAAAAGTTTCTGGATCGCTACGAGATCGATTCGCTGATCGGTGAGATAAATGAAAACTAACTTGATTCATTAAAGTTTACTAAATTAATTATGTTGCACAGGCAAGGGCAGCTTTGGTCAGGTGGTGAAGGCCTACGATCATGAGGAGCAATGCCATGTGGCGATCAAGATAATTAAGAATAAGAAACCGTTCCTAAACCAGGCACAGATCGAGGTCAAGCTGCTCGAGATGATGAATCGTGCGGATGCCGAAAACAAATACTATATCGGTGTGTATTGTTTGCCACAAATGTATATGGCATATATTTTATCCTTTCGTTCTTACAGTCAAGCTCAAACGGCACTTTATGTGGCGCAACCATCTGTGCCTGGTGTTCGAGCTGCTCTCATATAACCTGTACGATCTGCTGCGGAACACCAACTTCCGGGGCGTCTCGCTGAACCTCACGCGCAAGTTCGCCCAGCAGCTATGCACTGCGCTGCTGTTCCTCAGCACCCCCGAACTGAACATTATTCACTGTGATTTGAAGCCGGAGAATATCTTGCTGTGCAACCCGAAGCGTTCGGCGATCAAGATCGTTGACTTTGGCAGCTCCTGTCAACTGGGTCAGCGGGTAAGTAGCACCAAAATCCATACCAAAATCCGTCTTTAATATATTGTATCCCCTTTTTAGATCTACCATTACATCCAGTCGCGATTCTATCGCTCACCGGAGGTATTGTTGGGCATTCAGTATGACCTGGCCATCGATATGTGGTCATTGGGTTGCATTCTGGTGGAGATGCATACCGGCGAACCGCTCTTCTCCGGTTGCAACGAGGTCGACCAGATGAACAAGATTGTCGAGGTGCTGGGCATGCCGCCAAAGTACCTGCTCGATCAGGCGCACAAGACCCGCAAGTTCTTTGACAAAATCGTGGCCGATGGCTCCTATGTCCTGAAGAAGAATCAGAATGGACGCAAGTACAAGCCACCGGGATCCCGCAAACTGCACGATATTCTTGGTGTGGAAACTGGTGGGCCGGGTGGCCGACGTCTAGATGAACCTGGCCACTCTGTCTCCGATTATCTCAAGTTCAAGGATCTAATCCTGCGCATGCTCGACTTTGACCCCAAGACAAGGGTCACGCCCTACTATGCCCTGCAGCACAACTTCTTCAAGCGCATGGCGGACGAGGCGACCAATACTAGCGGTGCGGGCGCCACAGCGAATGCCGGCGCTGGTGGCTCTGGTTCTAGCGGAGCTGGCGGTTCCAGTGGCTCGAGCGGACCCGGAGGCGGAGGTGTTGGCGGCGGAGGCGGCGGCCTGGGAGCAAGTAATAGCAGCAGTAGCGGAGCAGTCTCCTCATCAAGCGCAGCAGCCGCTGCGGCGGCGGCAGCAGCAGTTAGCTCATCATCAGCCACAGGCTCCTCTGGCTCAGGAACGGGATCTGGAGTCGGAGGCGGATCCTCTGCGGCGCAGCAGCAACAACAGGCGATGCCCCTGCCATTGTCCCTGCCGCTGCCACCACATGGAGGTCCCGGTAGTGCGTCGGATGCCCAGTGTCATGGTGAGTACATTACTGGTCATCCAGTTACATTTGGAATGATACCCTATTTGGAGTCAATCAATGTGTCGATATTATGGTGAACAATCAAAGGTCCCAAAGTGCTATCTGTAGACTATTTACGTGTTGAATGTATTCCCGCAAAATTCAAGACCTTTAATCAAATCATTTTGTTCGAATTAAATACAATTTAAGGAGTTAATATAAATAAGGTTTACAAGTAAAAGGCTACAGAGGCTGAAATCAATGGTGCTTTTGATCACCTAAAGTATTGATCCTAAATTATTTACACTCATCATTTGTAGCTAGAGAATTTTGTCCCTATTTTTTTGTTGATTATATTATATTTTTTTTGACTGAGCTAGATCGAAATGATATAGCCATCTCGCTGGATTTTGTTGTAGTTGGCATGGAATATTGATCATCATGTGTTATTGTGTGTGTGAAATGAATTTTATTATTTATTGATTTGCTGTAAAGAAATCCTGTACTCTCGCATATTGTTTTATATTAGGTCTTAATCTTATCAAATTGTGTGTACTTTATGGCTTATGATTTGTAATTGATAATTAATTAATATTTAGTTAAACTTTGTTATAGCAAAGACCTTATAATAATATGATCGCTCTCTCTTTCTCTGGTTATTGTATAATCTTATTTTTATTAATTTAAGGTCTTTCTACAAGTATAAGAACTGTTTTGTTTTATCTTTAGTTTGACGCTTAGTTTCTAAATTAATTAATTTGTTGTATGAGCAATGTCCAAGATGAATTTGTTAAAAATTGAAACGTAGCTAAAAGTAGTAGCTTCCTACGTCAAGTCAATGATAAACTCCTCTCTTTTTCGAACCTACACACACACGATTGCATAAAATAATCTAAACAAAATTAATAACAAATATGCTAACAAATGGATGGATAATAGATGATCGCCGATGACCGGCAACATTAGCAGTTACAACATCCGCAACAGCAACATCAGCATCAGCAGCAGCAGCAACATCAAGGATATCACATCAGTAACAACAGCAGCAGCAGCAGCAACATAAGCAACATTAGTGACACGCGGCATCAGGCAACATGAAACATGTGCAACAAGTAACCATGCAACGTACATTCAAGAACACGCAGTGTGTGCAACATTTAAAGTTGCATTACTGCATTTATTCAACAACTTGTAAATAGTCACGTTTCTCTTTACACACTCTGTCTAACTCCCTCTTCCCTAAGATCGCAGGAACCAAGAATAATTATTCTTATACTTTGCAACATTAGAACTACACTATAGTTTTCCCACACCATCTGTTAATCTTTTGTCTCTTGTTTTTTTTTGTATTTTTTTGTTCAACTTAGTATATATGTAAAATGTAATATGCTCACGCATTTTAAAGGCTCTTGTCGAATTAAATACAATCTCATGTGTAAAATGTTTCACCTATTTTTTTTGTCTAACTTAAAATAACGCAACAGGCACTTACTTAAGTGTAAGTACTTAGGGTCATAGCATTGTACGAAGTAAAAACTGTTAGAAAAACAAAACAAAAAAAATTAAACAAAGCGAATATATAAGTAATAATATTAAGACAATGAAATAAGTAAACAAGGAATCCTTAACGACTTTCTTAACGACTGCCATACATATACATACATCTAATATGCAAATAAGTAAGAAGGAAATGATACACTGAGAGAAAAAAAAACAAGAAGAAAACAGCAATCCCTTAGCAGTACACATGTATATATCGTTTCGGCAATACTAATGTGGCTCCTTTCGAATCGATGGGTGAAGATTATGAATGAATATGCGGCTCCCAGGGGCTTTGCTGAGCAGCATTTCGTCCTTAACAGGATATATTTCTTCAATAATTCAAAATGATATAATGTCTATCATAAAGACAACATTTAGTTAAACAATTCTTTAAATAATTTGAATACTTTACACGCACCTCAGTCTAGCCCCTTTTTAGCCCAGCATATTCATTTGTATTCGAATAACGAAAAGTAATTATGAGCGATATCCAATATTTCAAAATTCAAATAAGTGCTACAATGAGTATTTCAAAATTGAAAAGTACGAGGCGATATGGATCTCAGCGATATAAACGACATTCGAATTAAAAACTAAACACAAATCATAGTTTGTAAAAAGTGTAAAACGTAGGAATGTAAAAAATTCAAAAAGCGAAAATTTAAGCAAAAATTATCGTGGTAAAGAATGCGTCAAGCAAAAATTCATAAGAACACAAAAAAGGTAAAGGTCACCATTAAAAAACAAAACAATTAATTATGGCTTGTAAATCTTACATTCTTTTTTTTTGTTCCCTTAACTTTGAGAACCCTTTAATGCCTACCAAATTTTCTTTATTCTACAAAATTATATTGCTAAGTTTTTGAAATCCCTTAAAAATATATTAAGATGTTGGCAACAATTTACAATTTGTATGAATAACATTTGGTTGTTATAAACTTTTTCACATAATTTCTAATGGATTTTAAATCCTTAATATATTTAAATTTTTGTACAAATTTAAAGGTATTCATAAAATTTTGAATTTATATTCAAGCTATGAATTAGCCATGTTTTTTCTATTCCTTTGACTATAATTATGATAAAAATTATGTAAGGACTAAGCTTTTTAGATATCCTTTTTGGTCAAAAATATTTTAATAACGGTTTCCTTGGGCATTAAAGGGTATTCATTAGTTAACCAATGGCTTCCTCACTCTCTTTCACTCACTCCCACTTTCTCCCTCTCTCTCTCTCTCTCATTCGAGGATTTTGTTTTGCAAGGATTCCGTTTAACGGTAGCCGCAGGAAACGAGACGAATTAGAGCGAGCGAGCAAGCGGTAGTCGCTTTCTTTTGTGATAAAAATACAAAAAAAAAAAAAAACAAAGAAAAGAACAGAATCACAATAAATATTAGCTCCCATAAAAAATAAAAAAAATAATAAAACAAATAAAAAGGACTCGTGTAAACCTCTAAATTGTTTCGATTGCTGCATTATTCCTTGAAAAGTTCAGGCCTTGTTAATAAATAAAATGGCAAAATTTGTTGAATAACAAACACACACACACACATAGTCTCAGAATCGAAAGAGCGATAAATAAACATATAAATATATATATATACACACACATGATAGTTTTAATTGTAATGATTGAAATGCGATAGTCCATAAATGAAGCTGATAACTTATCGATAGAGCGACAAATATGCATCATACGCGTTAAAAACCAAACACAAATCATAGTCTGTAAAAAGGATAAAAAAAGAAACCAAAAACGAAGCAAAATTCACAGTCATAATAAACAAAGAATGAACTTGATTATTAAGCAAGAAAGAAATGAAAATTGTATGGGAAATCAGAGTTAAGCAAAGGAAATCTTATAGCCAGCATTAAAATCAGTACGTACTAAAGAGATGAACCTTTAGCATTTAATAAATTAACATACCTACAATCTATATATAAAAATAACACTTACAAGTAATTATTGCGGAAAACAAAAACAAAAAGAAAAACTCAATTAATTTTATTAGACACCTACAAAACTCACGACAGACAAATGGATACGAAATATATAAATAAATATTAATAATAAACATTAGAGGTTAGCGCGGTTAGCCCTCAGAAGAAACCACAAACCAAGATCCAAGAATTTAAAAGCAACCAAGAGAGACACTTAACGAAACTTGTGTAAAATATTAAAACTAGACGAAGCGAGTGTTATAAGTGAATAAATTTAAATCACAATAAGCAGACAACAATACACATAATTACACAACACACACACACACACACACACACTGAAAATTATGAAAATGCAAGGTTATTAACGGTAACAGTAAAGATAATCGATAAACGATAACCGTTAACCGCGACGAACTTAAAAAGCAGAAACACACGAATGTTAATCGAAAATAAAAGCGTAGAAGAAGTGCAATAGTAGAAAGGGGGCGGGGAAGATGGGGAAATAAATTAATTGAATTGGGAGAAAATCGGGGAAGACCATAATGCATTTTTTTTTTCACGAACAGCAAGAGGGAAACCTCCTTAACGAAAACAGTATTGCAAAATAAATTAAAAATATATATAAAAAGAATAAACACAAGGAATTCATGAATTAAAAAAAAGGGAGACCACAAAAACCTTAGCACCCACACACACACACACATAAAAACACAACAGAAAACATATAGACACGTGAAATCATATGTGGCATTTATACATAATATAATAATGAAAAGATGATGGTTTAAGTTGAATAAGTACGAAATAATTTATTAACGATTAAACTGAAAATGGAAAACTTTACCAAAACCAATAAAAAAAACGACAAAAAAATTCATAAAGAAAAAAACAAACAAAAATAAAAGCAAACCAAAAGAACAAAAAAGAAAAACAAAAATTACAAAAAAAGCGAAAAAAATCTTTAATAAAATCTTATGATATAATCAACAAAAAAAAAAAAGAAAAAAATATATATATAGTATTGAAATGGTTAGAATTCATTTAGGGGCTTAGAGGAGGGTACAATTTATGAATATTTCTAACCAAATTATTAAAAAATCAATTCAATTGAATTTGCAGGAGGACCACTTATCCACCAATTAATGGCCGCTGCCAATACGATGAACAACTTCTCCGCCATGAGCCTGCAGCCAACCGTTGGACATCCGCCGCCCTCGTTGGCCAATAGCAGCCACCACAGCAGCAATAGCCTGGGCAGCCTCAATCACATCAGTCCCGGAAGCAGCACAGCCCGGCACAATCGTCTCTATGGCAACAGTCACCATCAGAGCATCAGCAACACCACCAACAACAACAACAACAACATCAGCAGCAGCAGCAGCAGCAGTAACCACAGCAGCAACAGCATGGGCAACCATAGTAGCCTCAGCTATCCGCACGCCATGGAATGCGATCCGCCACCGATGCCGCCACAGAATGGCCATGGACGAATGCGAGTGCCGGCAATTCTACAGCTGCAACCGAATAGCTATGCTCCCAACTCGATGCCCTACTATGGCAACATGTCCTCGGCGGCGGCAGCAGCAGCAGCTGCTGCAGCGGCGGCTGCAGCTGCCTCGCATCTGATGATGACCGATTCGAGTGTAATTAGCGCTACAGCGGCGAGTGGCGGACAGGGCGGTGGCAACCCGGGTACAAATCAAGTGTCAAACGCCAATGCCAATGCCTTCCTCTATCCATCTCAGCCCGCTGGAACGCTGTATGGCACGACGCCAGCTTCGCTGAGCGAGCTGCCGTTGCCGCTGCCACCACTGCCGCTACAACTGCCCATGCCAATGCCAATGCCCCTGCTACTGCCTCCCCCATCGTCGTCGTCCTCATCCGCGGGATCAGGCGTGTCGGTTTCTGGTGTCGGCAGCGGCGGCGGCGGAGGAGGCGGCGGCCAGAGGCGACACGCTGGCGGACACGCTGCTGTGACCCAGAATGTTAGCAGTGGTGGCAGCAATTCAACGACCGGAGCCAGCAGCAGTGATGCCTCCTCGTCGTCGCCTATGGTGGGCGTTTGTGTTCAACAGAATCCTGTAGTTATACATTAGCCTATAGACAAAGTGAAAAAGTTTTAAAGTTGCCCGCATTATATATATACATATATATATCTATCTTGTTCACACCACCTTTCGCCGCTCTCTGCTGCTATTTATTGCACCATCCGAAGGAACACATCCAAGCCCAAGTCCCATCCATCCCGAAATTGTCATCCCGCCAGTGCAGCAGAATTTAAGGGTGGTGTCAAGATTGGGAATTTTACATCATATCACAAGGAGATACCTTTGTGAGGCTTTTATTCTTTGTTCTCGATTTGTTTCGGTCAAAGTTAATGTTTTAATTTCACTTAAAAAATTGTATTTTAGATAGTTTAAATTTCTTAATCATTTTTAATATACAATTTAGGGTAGACAACAGACTTAGTTTTCTTAAATACACTTAATCAGTAATTCAAAAGTACCAAAACATTTGATTTCCTGTGAGAGGAATATTTCAACCGATTTTACGCTATGAAACGTGTAACGAAGTGTCTCAAAAGGATAACAAAAAAATCAGTGAAAACAATATTGATAATGATGTTAAAAATTTGTTCAACGACAAGTTATTAAAAATAATTTGGCCAGCATAGTAGTAGCAGAATCAAGTTCTTTTAAAGTTTTAAAATCTATATATAATTCCGAGATCCAAAGATAACCAACAGAGAACTAAAGATATTCTGGAATCATGTTAATTACCAAAAAAAAAAGCCTACACATTATTTTATGATGTATTTTTCCGACTTGCCACCACCCACTGAAACACACATAAACAACCCAAACACACACACAAAGTACACTAAACTATATAAAAAAATACAAAATACATTAACATTAACTAGCTGAAATTGACCCACACACAGACACCCATTCACCTGCAGTTTATCTATGGAATAGTCACTTGGCGCTCTCACTACCGCGCCCACACGCCTCCAAAAAACGTCCTGGAGAGGCGTATTGGATCCTGTGGTTCCGTGTGGGCGCTCCACTTGAAGGATTTTCGTAAATCGTTTTAATATTTTTACTCGATAGATACTTCTTTTTTTTTTTGGTCTAATTATAGTGTTTAAATTTATGCTGTAACCGTACCGACATAATCTTACTTGATATAAACGAATCAAAATTAAACTTTATTTAATTGTTAATTTATATGATGTAATTTTATTTGATTTGACGAGAAATCGTTGGCTATATACATATAAAAACATACATCAAAATATTTATATATTTTATATATATATATAAATACATACATGTATTCTATGTATATATAAAAAGAACGCAAACACAAATGCTTAATTTAAGCGAAAAAAAAAACAAATTGTATTTATTTTTTACACGGGAATCAACAATTTGGGATTCTTTTATTTTAGTATTATTTGTCTAAATTAAAACCTGTGCACGATAATGTTTTTGCAACTTATTAGCCTTGCAGCCAAGCTTCATCTGCCACTTGGACTGGACACGCTTCATCAGATGAATGTCACGGGCCTTGCGTGCAGCCGAAAGCTGTTGAGTCTGCGTCCAACCCAGAGCCCGGTACTCGCTAAGAACGCGGTGCAACTTGCGATCGGATTTCTTTAGCACCACGGCGCGTTCCGGATGGAGACGTTGGCGGTAGTAGCGGAGCAGAGAGCGGTGTCCAATAACGGCGCCCGAGGGCAATACCAATTGGTATTCATCGCCGTCGAGCAAGTCTGGCACCACTTCCTCATCAATGTCCATGCCGTCCTTCTGTATGTTGAATTATAAGAAGAAATATGAGTTAGGATTCATGTTCTTGAAAGATATTAGTATTGCGGCTTAGTTGATACTCACATTATCGGGATAACTGCTGCTGTAATCGTAATATTCCGCATACTCCGCCAATGCCATGCCCTCATGCAGCATCTGGCAGTGACCCTTGTCGAGCATATGCTTGCGTACAGCGTCCAGGGAGTAAAAGGTCTTGCCACGATCATTGCACCATAAGCAAATGAAATAATTCGCCACCTTTTCGCCCAGATAGTATAGCAAGCCCTCGATGTCTGTGCAGTACTCGGTGTCCGGAATGAAGAAGGAGTGCGCGACAGACATGTGTTTAAGGTTCTCCACCAGATCTTCGCTTGTGTGCTGGCAGAATAGGCAGTCGCGTTCGGTTAGCGGATTCTCCGGTATCTTGTCCCACTCATCGGAGTCCACCTGTGGAGCAATCAATTATATAAACCAGTTGCTACTCTGAGAGTTAAGCATACATACCTCTTCCTCCTCGATGTCCTCAAAATCATCATCGTCGTCGTCCATTTCCTGGCCCTCCTGGTCATCCTTCATTGTGGCACGCTCGGCAAAGGCCAGACGACCCTTACCAGCCGCAGCAGCGGCCAAAGCTGGATGTGGCCGCGGCTCCATCACGCTCCGTGTGCAGACAGAGGCCGAAGTGCTGGTGCTTCCGCCGCTGGCCGTCATCTGGTCGCGCTCGAACTTGGCAAGCAGCTCGCGATGTTTCTTGCTGTTCAGATGGTTGTCGTGGGCCTTCTGGCTTCCGAACTGTCTGCGGCAGGCATGGCAATAGACGCTAATGTTCTGCTCTTCCAATGCCGCATCGGTGGCACTGCGAGCGCTAAGCACACGCTGCTGGAACTCCTCCGCCGTCACCGGCGGCAGCTGGGCAACCCGTCGCTTGAGATTATAGCGATGCCAGTCCGTTTTGTAGTGCTCACGCTGGATATCAGCGCTGGCGAAACGGGCATCGCAGTTCAGACACGTGAATTGCGACGACATTCCTCAGCCTCGGCCACTATCTTGATTGCTGGGAGCTTGTTCCGTTGATCTCGGACAGATAGATCACCACAATACACTAAAAATACAATTCTTTCTGAATTGTATTTGAATTTGGAATAGTAAGGCGTATTTCACAACGGATCCTGATAATAATGATTATTATTTGCGAATGATTAACAAACAAACGTGGTGGAGTTGTCGAATATATATCAAGCTATCGATGTTTCGATGCTTTCGTATGAGTATCGATATGGCGTAGTTAAATATTCGATTTATCAGTGTGTGAATGAATATCGTTATATGAAGTGTAATCGGTGGAAAAGTTTGAATTCAATCAATTTTAAAATTGAAAATTGCTGCAGCTGAAAAAAAAGAATTAATTTTCTTTTTTTCAAATATTGTTAATCTTTTGCAAAAGTTTTGCATCGATCTAAGCAAAATTGACAATGTTATGGGCAGCTTATTCTACTCACATCGGTTATTTTTTATTTTATAAATAACCGTTTTTTAAACTTCTTTTAATAAAAATTCTACAAATCCTCCAAAAACTAGTTAAGAGACTTGGAATATTCCCTACAACTCCCACACCTATGAATACTTTTAAACAAATAATTAAAAAAAAAGTTTTTCAAATGTTGTGTTCTTTACGAAAATTAATTTATTTATTTGTTCAGAAAATAACAATAGAATGGAAACAGATATAGAAAAGTATACACAGATTTCATCAGTAGTATGTATCGTTTTTTTGTTTTCTCTCGTCCTGTTCTATGTTATTGCCGTAAATAATAAGAATTGGGCAGCTCACAGCGGAAATAAGCAACCTTCCCTGGAAAGTATGCCATGTTTTTTGTTTTTACTCATCCTTCTTTGATATGTAAGGGCCGTACACAGAATATGGCAGCTCGCAGCCAAAAAGAGCATTTTTGTGGACACAATAGGTGATGTATTTGCGCCATGAACTGTCGAGGGCGAGAATATTAGGATTCCCAAAGACGATCATCATGGCACGGGCACGGGATATGGCCACATTCATCCGCTTGGTGGACTTCACGAATCCCAAAGACATCTGGGCGTCGGCGTTGAGTAGTGCCTGCGAGGAGCGCACTGTCGAGATGAGGATAATGTCGCGTTCCTGCATATATGGTAAATATATAATATATATATAATGAAATACTAAACAAAAAGATATTGCCCACCTGTCCTTGAAATTCCTCCACAGAGCCAATCTTTGGCATGACTATATTAGTGGCCATAAACAGAGTTTTGAGCGTCTTCACTTGCTTTGCATATGGCGTGATTATTCCAATCTGGTCCTCATGGAAATTAATTTTGTACAGGGCAATGGTCATTAAGTATACTTGCTTGGCCTCCTGCGGATTGTACCAAGAGGGCGAGTCATTACACTGCAAATTCGTACCATCAATTCCAAAGAAGAAGGCACCCTGGTTTCTTGGAATATCATTGATCGGATTAAAAACCACAAGTGCCTTTTCCAGGAGTTGAATCTCCTTCGAATTTGATTCGCAAACCATTGGAATGAGTTCATTGTCGTAAAAGAGCTTGTTATAAGTGCACATTATCGTTGGCAGTGCGCGGTAATTGTTCAATAACTTGGTCATACACTTTGGATTATATCCGGAGGTTTTGGGGAATTTTTGGAGATCCTTTCTATACGGTGGCTGTTCCAACAACCTCTCAAGGAAGGATTTGCAGTATCCGGTCTGACATGAATAACGATTTATCACAATGGCCTGCAGCTGTTGGGTATCACCGGCCAGAATAACTTGCTTCCGACTTCCGGTTAACAGCGAAATCGGTACCATTGTCTCTGGCTCCGAGCACTGGCCAGCTTCGTCGATAAGCACATGAGTGAAGTGACCGCGTGGGAAATCCATTTGCATGAAGTTCCCCAATGTGGTGTTGGTTGATACTATTACACGGTAGCGTGTTAAAAAGTTCATCTGGCATCTCATCTTCATGCCAGATTCGGTGATCACCATCTGTGTGAAATAGAGCAGTGATTACAATTAATAGATATTCTGTTAGTAATTGTCCTTGGAGAGGAGAGATACGTACACCGTTTTCACAACTGCCCGGTGTTCCAATGTCCACAGTGGCACAGTATTTTAATAGCTCTTTGGGAATCAATTCCTTATCGATCTGATTGTACGACACAAGACGAATGAAATCGTCCGGAGGCAGGACTTTGCTTTCGATGATCTTCTTCGTAATCAGATCCGCCGAACTATTGGATGGTGTCCCCACCAAAATTCGGGAGTACGGATTAATATTCGCCAACTGTAGGAGCACCTCCATCAGGGTCATGGTCTTGCCAGTTCCAGGCGGTCCAAAGATGACATAAGGAATATTCTGCAATTCGCCACGCAAGATATTGAATACAGTTCGCTTTTGGATGTGATTAAGGGATGGATTAAACCACTTCAACTTTGAATCGTAAAGGTACATATCGTCTGGTCCCTCCATCCTGACTTCCAACTGAGGCTGCTCGCGTTGAATTAGCTTCGTGGGGAACAAGAAATCCTCACCAATAACGGATATTATCTTTGATATGGCATGGTGCTGCTTGCGAAGACCGAAACGTGAAAAGTAAAACGACAGGCTGTATTCCTCTCCCTTATACGTCTTGTGGAAGCCGGCGCTGAATTTGAGCAGAATGCGATTGCCAAGCACTTTGTGGACGATGCCCTCGAAGCTCCGGTCGGTTTCCGTTTCGGTACCGTCCACCCAGAGATTATTGGCACGCACAATATCACCAACGACCAGCGAGGGACGACGCTCGGCAAGATTAGAGACCAGCAGCGATAGGTACTCGCCGTCTATCTGGAAGTGTGCCCGCTGCCTGTCGTAGGTCCGAATGAGCACGAAATTCTCAAGCTCTTCGAGGTGCAGGAAGAGGCTATAATTTTGAACATAGTTCTTGATGTTCATCTCCTCCTTGACGAACGGATACTGCAACTCGATGGCCTTCAACATGTCCGATTGCCGTGTGGTGGTCAGGTATATCTGGCGGAGCGTGTCGGGGATCTAAAAGTAAATTTGGAATTGCCGAAAACCTTACATAAAACCAAGCTTACGTCATAAGCAGCCAAACGAATGCTCACAAAGCGGCGCTTGAGGCCTACGCTTTGTCCTGGCACCGCATCCTTTGGGCTAGACAAAATCTGGTTGGCATAGAATCGAGCTTCCTGCATAGATCTCGGCCTAGGAGCACTTGGGACATTGGTTGCGGCCATACGCTTCTTCGCTTGGTCGACCTCCTCCTTCGATTTGCACACGATGACCGCAATACTACGTCTCATTTTGAAGGTATCAAAGTCCAGATCAAATTTCTCGGAAACTTCTCCCATCAACTTGGTCTTCACCTCAAATAGGAGCGTAATCTCCCCTTTGGCGGGAATGCCAACGGGCTTCAAAGGCTCAAGCACATTCAGCTGGCGATTAACCACGTCATTAAGCGCTTTCACGCTCATCAGGCGCAAGATGTCGTTTGTATTATTGCGTAACTTCTGCGATATCTGGTAAGTTTTATGGAGCTCTGAACAAATGAGGTGAGTCTCCCCGATCAGCGATACTATTCTGCATGCGTCGTTAGCCGACTTAGACGTCTTCTCCAGCAGGGTCAGCTTTATGGCACGCTGCGTAAATGTATCCTTTCGAAATAAGAATTAATTTGGTCATTTAATTTATTAAACTTGTTGTAATTTAAATTGTTAATTGCAATCATTCCACTTACATACTGACACTTGATTAGATCAGCATAGACCACGTCGGTTGAACGAAGGGTTATGCCCGTCGGGATGTCCTCTCTCATAATGTAGACATTCTTACCGAATATTATATAATCATCGTAAATGAGTTCCACGGCACAAATCTGATCAGATTTGATGGTCAGAGGAAAGACGGTTTTCACCTGTACAATCTCATCCTCCTTGTCCATATCGCAGCTAAGGTACACGAAATCGCCTGTCCGGGGCGCGAAGGTGGTCTTGACGCCGTCCAGCTTAACCAGCAGATGTCCTGTCATGGTCTTCACTTCAATTGAGAAGCGGTCACAACGGGTAATTAGTCCCTCCATACCGTTTTTGCACTGTATATGAAAGGCATTAGAGTATGAAGCAATTTGTATGCTTTTGTGTAATTCTCGAATCCATATCCTCGAACCCATCCTCTAAGATGTCTTCACTCACCTTCTTGAATAGGTCCTCGGTGCCACTAGATTGATTACCCTCCTCCTCGGGCTTAGGCTTCGAGAACCACCAGCGAAAGAATGGCATGTTGGTCTTGGGTTTGCTTTCAGTATGGAACTGCTTTCGTTTCCGTTTCAGCAGACACTTGGAATGAGTTTTCGGCGTCTACTCCACCCTGCGATTCTTTCTTGTCAGTTCTGCTCTCCGTTAAAGGAAAATCGAAAAGAAAATGTCACCGGTTTTCAAAGTGTGTGTGACGAAAGTTGAATGTGAAGCATAAAAGCCGAACAGAAAAAGAGAGGTCTGTTCGGTAGACTTTAAGACATGTGTCAGAGGGAGATGACTAGAGAGTCACAAGAAAATGAAAGAAGGCAAGTAAAAGAGACAAGTCTACGCGCAAGCGTATTAAAGCAGAACTCTGTAATTTACATACATATACATATTGTATACATGTGTACTTTACATACATAAATATATAGAGCTTTTATAAAAAGGGGCTATATTCTAATTTATTTAAAGATCGTCTAGGAAGATAATTTTACCGGAATTCTCAATAAGCAATGATGAAACTCTTAATGAAACCAGTCACAACAGAATCGTGAATCTTTTACATTTACTTCTCAATTCTTTTTTCCCTTCTGCACACACACACACACACACACACAAAAAGTTAAGCAATGGCGAAAATTTACCTGTGCGCCGGTGACTTACGGGATTATAATTGGCTGCGCCGCTCATAAACGCTTCTTCCTTGATGGCTACAACGCTTTCTCACGGATGTTTAGTTATGGCCCGAAAAATTGTACAATAATTTTCTTCATTAAGCTTAAACACCGCACGAAGAATAAAGAACGCGTTCACCACACCGGAAGGACAGGAAAGGAAAGGCAAGCGACAAATGTAGGGATGTGTAAAGATGCATGTCGGTGTGCAATATCGGTCCTATCGATACATCGTTGGTTTCTTTAAATATCAAAATTAATGTACAAATTTTCCCTTTTTTAAAAAGGAAAATGTAGATTCTTGTAAAAGTAGAAGGCAGAGCAAGTGTAATAATCTACTGAGTCGGAAATAACCATTTCATTACCCTATTAGGACAGCAAAACAGGGTTCTAGAACTCCAAAATGATGATATGGCCGTCAAAGATGTCTGGTTTGCATGATGGAGTCGGCATTTTTGGCAAACGTATAGCCAATAAATAGTGGTTACCGTCAGAAAATGTGTTAAATATATATTATTAAAATGTGGGGGATTACCAGTAGACATACCTTAATAGAAAATCAATCCTATTATTGTATTTAATTAAGAGATGGCAAATAAGGGTTGCCGTTTACAGTCGGCCATTTTTGTAAATGCATAGCCAATGAGAATTCTTTATCGCCTGAAAATGCTTAAAAGGCGAAAGATAACAATCAAATCGGAAGGGATGAATTAAAATTAAATTGAGCCGACCCTTGTTATGAAAAATGATATATATTTCTATTTCGCTAAACGTGCGTAAATTATTTATTATTATTTATAATGCTTTCTTGGCTTAGGGTTATTTCAGCTCTGTTTTTTTTTCTAGATTTAAAGCCATAAGAATGCTCGTTATTATATTGTTATATATTTCTATTACAGATATTTTTTTATCAGTGTACACAATTAAAAAATCCTGGGAAAAAGTGGTTGCCGTTTGCCGTCAGCCATGTGCAAAGACACAATCGTTAACAATGAAACCCAAATAAGTATGCAATAATAAAAAAAATTACCAAACCTCCAATTGGAAAGAAATTTGTAATTGGTGATTTTTGATTTGGTGGTAATTCTTGCGACAATTTAAATTAATTTATTTATATATACAAAATATATATACGCTATAGTTTAATATACATCTGATGCATTATAATTATAATTAGATTTTCTAATTTTCTGGATTGAATATGAAACATTTTGGACTGGGTTTTCTGCGTTAGATTGTTACTAATCTGATGTATAAAAAACTTTGAAGAAAGCATTTTCACAGCATATCACCTGAAAAGATGTTATTTTTAATACTGTTTGGTAATGAAATTGTTATACTTACAAGTATCTCCGGTATATTGGACTCTTCATAGAACTCCTTGTCATTTTCAACCTGTGTTAAGATAACAGTTAACGGGTCCTGTAGTGTGGGATCTCTTATATTCTTCAGAAGAATATAAATATCCCATAGCAATTGATCATGCAAAAGAGGCGTAGAGCTAATTATTAGACGATCGAGATTCTTGCAACACTTTAAAATGTGTAGCACATTGTTCATTGTGACATTGTTATAGTTCACATACTCTAATATAATTTCCAATGATTTGAGTTTTAATAGCTCGCCTAGGCATGTTAGTTTTCTAGCAAATTGTCTAATGAAAAGCTTTAGACTTTTTAACGATTTAATTCGCGTTATTTGCTTTAATTCTTCAATATATCCAATCGTTGTAGTTAGATGTGTTAATTTCACGTTTTTACAGGCAAAAGCCTTGTAGACATTTGTGAGCTCAACACCTATGCCTACTACAAGGCTGAGGCTCTCTAGACTTTGTATATTGGCCAGAATATCGTCATTACATGAAAATGTATAGTCACGCAAAAACAAGGTTAACGAATTTAAATTCCTAAGATCGACCAAATATTGTAGTTCTTCGGGAAATGTTACATACAATGATATATCCAATTTCGACAAGTGTTTAAAGTTCTGCAAAATTGAAACATTATTACACAAACATCTGCATTGTAGACTCCTTAAACCCTTAATTTTAGCCAGCTCCTCCAATTCCATGAGCTCAATAATACTATACGGTGTTCCATTAATTTTCAAGTGCTGAAGTCTGCTTTTTGTACTTGCAGCAAATGCAGAAAATAATTCTCGTAGAGAAAAGTGCGGAAATGCAAGCGTTAACTCCTCAATATTCGAATTAGCTAGCTCCATCAATGAGTAGCAATCTTCAGGCCGAGAATCACATATATCTAATTTTTTCAACGATTTTATTCTAGAAACTCGAACTAGTTCTTCGCCTGATATATCTCCGGAATTGATTTGTAAGCATTGAAGCGACGGGGACTCCTTTGTGGCCAGTTGATCGAAGAGCTTTACCAAAGATCCCTTCACAGAGTCATATATGGTCAATTCTTCGAGCTCAGTGAGATTGGACAAGTTCTCAATGTCATTCGTACCAGTTAATAAAATTCTTAATTTTTTATAGGATGCACTTTTGCCATATTGAGTACATATTTTATATTTATATTGGAGTATTCAGTAACATCCAGTTCCTCGATTGCAATTAAATCCCTGTAGCTAAATGCTTCAACGATGAATCCCTTTTTGCATTTCCATTGCCCTTTATTTTTAGAGTTTTAATTCTTTTACTGTGACCTATAAAATTCTCATTCTTTCTGAATTCAATGAACCAATCTTGGCACCAAATGAAACCACTTGAGGAGCAGGTGTTTAAGAGCCTGCAAAGCGCTCTTGAATCTGTTTTCTCAAACGCACTTGCAACACTGATAGATAGGGTTTCCAGGTTTTTAAGCTCACTCAAGGGTTCGACAGCCTTCCAATCTGAAAATTCACAGATCAAAGATGTAATTGATTTTATTTTGACAAGCTCAGAGGCAATTAGTTGATCCAATTTTCTGCTCGAAGTATTGATTGATTTCAAAGCGAATGGTTTGTCCACTGACATGGATGCAAAGAGTTTTGCTATTTCTTTTTCATCTTCCTTTTTGTTGCCTTCAAATTCGAACGATTTTATTTTGAAAATCTTTAGGAGGGATATAAATCCGCTTATATCGGCATCTGATATCGGACATTCATATAGGGTAAGACTATGAAAATTGATTTTTAATGCTGCTTCAATTAGGGTTATGGTGGCGAGAGATTGCCCTAGGGGGCTGCTCTCTCTAGATATATCCCAGAAGTCATAAGAGGTACTTAATTCGATACATTTTGAATCATTCTTTAACTCTAAAAGCACCAAAGAGTTAATTCTTGGAATTGTAACTTTGCTTAAATGTGGTAACTCCTCGATAAAGGTAATTTTCAACGGTCGGAAACTAGGTCTCTGCCATTTTGTAATCGAATCAAAAATGGCCAACAAAGAGCCCCCCTCAAAGGCACCGAATATAGTCATTTGTTTTAGGTTGGGTAGCTCTGCCAGCAGTGCATATTCGGCTCCATCGACATACGGTTTTGCCACAAATTGTAGGTATTTAAGATTTTGGCAATGGGGCACGATGTCTGACAGTCTTCCAAGGATATCGGTTCTGGTAAACTTGAGACTACTCAAATTCGGGTTTGACTTACATACATTTACCAGTGCCTCGGCGCTCATTCGTACGCTTAAATTGAGATTGATAATATGGCCAAAATGATTTAAATCATCTAGGGAATATCCTTAAATGAAAAATATATTGGTAATAAGCTGAATGCTGGTATTTATATTATTAACTAACCATTAAGAGCAATTGTTACTGTGTGCAGGCACTTTTTATGTTGAAGAGCGTGCTTTATTATTTCGAAATGATCCAAGAAATCGGGTTGAAAATCTTCTGGGTTAAAGTAAAGTTGAACTTCACGTAATACATAATTTTCTCGAATGGTATCAGCGAAGATTCGCCAGAATGCGTCAGCCTCCTTGCCTGTGTGTATGGTTTGCAGCTCTGCAAAATCAATTTCTAGGCTGTGTCTCTTGGCCACAAAAACAAATTCCAAATCATCGTATAAATCTTTATAGTATTCTTCTAATATTCCCTCAAAATCCTCGTGGGCCAGGGCAAGGTTTACTAAATCTGCATACTTCATTTGATTGCCCTGAGACTTTTCATTCAACTCGCAATCAGCAATTATATATTTCATTATCTGCCGTTGACAGTCTTCATTGAGGTCTAAAATGCTCATCGGGTTCTCGTTCATTTTTTGTTGATTGTTCTGTTAATCAGGAATGACCCAGAAAAGTTAACACTTTGCAATTCAGCCGAATTTTCAATCGTTTAAAATATAAAATGGAACTGTTTTTGTGATTTTTTTTGTGAAGAAGTTGCATTCGTCGCTTTACTGAACTAACTTAATGTTTGGTTTTATACTAAATAGCATTTGGCATTAGGGTCTGAACCGATAAGGGAATGCAAAAGATAACGATCGATTACAGTAGAAATACAGTAAAAGAAATTTTACAGAAATTAAAAAATAATAGTCTCTGGTGTTCTTTAACCAGGGGCCAGGGTCACAGAGTTGATTAGCAAAATATTATTGCATAAAATATCTAATAATATTAGTGACACACATTTTAAGTTGTTAAATACTAAAGCTCTAAACCCTATTATATTTGTTTTACTGTACAAATGCATGTATTGAAAGATAACGTGAATTTCTTTATCTAAAAAAAAAATAAACAACCATATATATAGATAATGTTTCAGCAGAAACGTCACGTTTACCTTAATATACTTTTTTTGTGAAAGAATGGTGATTTTGCAGCGATGAGAACACCTTATCCGGTACACAAGTGAGCCGGGGAATCCCCAGCGTCAACAGACTCAACGCCACCTATCGGAGTTTGCTGCAAGTTCTCATGTGTAAAATTTACTCAGGTAAAATGTTGTGAAGAATATCTACGGTTATTCTTACCTTAAGATTTTCTATCTCTGACTCTATAAAGTATATATATTGCTGATCAACATTCTGACTGCCAATCTGTATGAAGCAACAGTTTCAGATTGTTATAAAATAAAATACATTAGTCAAATTGTATAAAGCAAATTACCTCCTATAAATAAAAAATAATAAATTATTATAAGTAAAATCCGTATAAAATCGCGATAAATACAAAATCAATAATTAAAAATCCACCACCACCAGGTAACATCTCTGTTCAGAAGTCAGAAGAGTCTGGCTTCTGCCCATGTTTGCCTGGAAGAGCATAGCTAATTGTCTCATTGCATCTCTTAATTAAACACACAAAACCTTCGACCACTGGGTATCCCATAGTCGAGCACATTCATTAGCAGTGCTCTTGCCATTTTAAATACCTAATTTATTGTATTAGGACGCTTAATATTGGGATCTTGTAAAATCAGTTCAGGCAACTCAAACACATATAAATAAGGCCGCCTGTGCACGGTGGGCATACTTAATTAGGCGCTGTATATTCGGGGTCTTCTTTTCTTCTTTTATTGGGTCAGATAATGAAAACTCGATCTTCCATTATGGAAAACTCTCAACACGAAGGCGGAGTGCAACACCATTTTGTTTGCAGCATCTTTTTATACCTATATTATCTGAATGCACACACAGACACAAATGGGTAAAAGATACAAAGATGCGGTTGCAGTTGCAGTTGGGATTGGTCGACCTGTGCCTGCTGCTGTGATTTGTGTGTGTGTGTTTGGGGAAAAACCCGTTTTTCCGGCTGACATCGCACCTCCTCCGATTTGCATATACATACATATATTCATATATATGTGCCAGCGCATTCCTCTGGCTGCCAAAGAAAGAAAAAGTACAAAATAACCAAATTTTATCATGCATCTCATTATTAAACGAAACTCTCACATATAACTTATTGATTTGTGCGGCAAAAAAGAAGAAAAAATAAAATAATAATGGGGGGGGGGGGATGGGGATGGATAATATGCTCGAAAATTTAATGCACGAATTAATTATAAATTCCGTTGGCGATGCCCGCGATACGAAAGCGGCCAGGCATGAGCCACAAAGGGGCCAAAAATTCATGGTAAATACTGTCTGTTATCTCCTCGTTTTTTGTTTTTACATAAATAATGCAAATGTATGAATTGTGAATTAAAGTTCTTGGATTTATGTCAATGGCTTTATATTATTATATGTTATTTTTATGGTATTACCGTGCCGAGATGCTGTCTTTTGGGGGAACTGAGGGGACTGGCGTTAGAAAGTGCTGCCCCGCCATGCAAATGAGAATTGGAGAAAATTAATAGACGGATCGCAATGGAATTCTAATTGCGTATACGCACTTTCTGTCTCTGAAGACCCCCACACACACAGGTGTGTGAGTACACACTTGACCATCTCATTGTAAGTATACTTACACTCTCAGAGGAATGTATTCTTAAAACTAAAATGGGACATTTTAAAGTTTGTAGCAAGTAATTAATATTAAAAGCTAACTAATGTGTAGATAAATATATTAGAAAACAAGAAAGGAATGCTAAAGTTTATATATTTATTAAGTTTGCAATTGAATTATTATTTGAAACTAGAAAACTAAAATTATAATGCCTTTCTGCATAACCATATTCAATTTGAATTTTAATCTCTCGCCAAAATACTCTTCTACAGACACTTTTTTTAATATCTTTAGCCACTGTGGAAAATTCTAACGATATGATTGCCTTTCCCCTCAAAATCGAAGTGAAAACAATACCAATACCAGACTATGTGTACATAGATGTCTCGCCCCAAAATGGGGCCGATGACAGATTGTAGGAAATCGAAGTGAATTTATCAACCCAACCCAGTACCCATATCGTCTGCCGAACTGCAACGATCATGATCTGTCGTCTGTGTTTCATTCCTTCCGACTGTTATCAGTGCCACGATATCAGAACAAGGTGTGAGCTTGTCAAAGTTCTTGTCAATGCTACTGTTGGTGTTTCTAGTTTCCAGCTACCAGCTCTCAAAAGAGATGTATATGAAGCGATTTGAGAGGAATTTTTTAAGTTTCTTTTATACATTAAGCATTACATATAGAAGACCCAAAGCATAAAGATAACTCTCTGCGTTTTCTACGTCATGCAAATCCAAAATCAAGACTAAGCTCCCTTCAACGCGCCTGGATCACACCCAGCTTTTGGCCCGGGGGGCACCGGCTCCTCTTGGCCATGGCAATTTATGATGCTTCATTAGCATGCACAAAGAGTGGACAATAAATGGCCACGGCTCAGCCCAGCTGAGCTCAGGTTTGGCTTGGATAATGCTAATGCTTTTGCTGTTAGTCCAACAGACTAACTAAGAAAAAATGTTTAAGAAATATAAATAAAACAACGCAGGTCACAAGCTGTGATTTGCTATGTTTATTGGCTTTTGGTTGGCCAAATGTCTCTCTCTTTTTTCTGCGGGCCTTTCCTAATCACAATCAATAAATTCATTTCGGTTTTTGAGTCAGCTTCGCTTGTAGAAATTTTAATCCCGCTAAGAAATTTGATTTTTCCATAACTCTTTCTTTTCTGTTTTCGGTTTTCAGTTTTTTTTTACCAGCACTCTGTCATAGGTCAATTTCGCTTTTTAATACTCTTTGAGATGGAGTTTATAAGTTAATTAGGAGGTTTTGAAACAATATTAGCAAGAACCTTTATTTTGTATTTAACAATTTTGCATCAGGTTGCATTTTCTGTGTACATAAATTTAATCACTAGAAAAGGCAACATTTTTCAAGACTAAGACATGAGAATCATACCAGTTTAATCATTATTTTCATTATAAAAATGCAAAATATATTTAAAATATATTAAAATTATTTAAAATATATATAAATATATCTAATACTGAAGAGCATTCAGCATCTGAAACCCTAGAAAAGACTGAAGCTAAAGCAAAACTTTCGTACCACGTGTGAGTTAACCTTTTGTTGTCAATTTTGTTTAGAAATGCTCCCTTTTGTTCTGTTCTTGACCGCTAAATCATCTGTTGGTTCCAAATAAATCTTCTTCAACAGTGGGCAGGAATTTAACGCCTCTAAATTTGGCCAATAGAGTCACAAGATCTATTTTTAAAAATATGCCAAGGCTAAATTTATGCGGAATTTAATAAGGGCCGTCTTGTTCCACTCTTGCAGAGAGATATTGGAACAATAGGAATAAAATGGCATAATAAGACTATTATCTATAAATTTGCAAAAAAATACCAAAGAGAATTAGTTTTTCTTGACTCTTAGATAAATAATGTAATTTAAATATGATCAAAAGTGTTGATTTGATAATAATATTTAATCACAATTCGCATTTGAATGATTAATATAATTAATGGTTAAGAAATCCGGAATTGGAATGTTAATAACTGAAATTCTGATCGAAGAAACGCGTGAATTTCGAAGTGGCTTTTTGGGACTTTTTGCAGATAGATTCATACCTTGGATTTGTGACCTATTAAGGGCCGAAACTTTCATCCGTCGTAGATGGCTGGGGCCATCGATGTGGGGTTATTAATGATCGGTCGATCCATTGACCCCGCGACAGAAAGCCAGAGGAGAAACGGGTTCTCCGAAGAAAGCCAGATAGAAGCTACATAGCAGCGGCTAGCTGATGAATAATTCAGTGGCCAAAGACTAGAGATCGACCTCGGGTTCGTAGGAAACCGTTGGTGGCTGTGGCTGTGGCTTTGCCTTTGGTCTCTGTCCACTTTTGGCAATTAGCTGTGGGTCAATGTGGTGCCAAGCGAGCTAATATAAGCCGCTGCCGATCGTCGGACAGCTCAGTTTTTAGCCAAGTCTGGACAAGATGAGGAACCGGTGCGTCTGGCTCTTCCTGGGCCTGGTCTTTCTGGCCATCAGTGTTTCCGGCGAGTCCCTGATCGAGGTGGACGAGAATGGCGACGAGTATGAGCTGAAGCGTTTCTATATTCAGGGGCGCCAGCTGAAGGGCGATGGCAGCCAGTCGCAGTGCGTCGTGACCAGGAGGAAGCGCTCCGGCAGGGCTCTCTCCGCGGGAGCTAAGACCGGAGAGACTGGAGCAAGTGTCCAGGTCAGTTCGCAGACATTGAATGTGGAGAGTTTACCGGCAATGATGGAGCATCGTGAGGGTGCTGCCACCCTCCAGGAGGTGGATCCCAGCAAGAGGCGGTATGTGGCTCTAACTGGAGTGCACTACGAACCGCATGTTCCCAACGATGATGATGCTGATGCGGATGAGGATGATGATGATGACGAAGATGATGACGAGGAGCTGGAGGATGAGATGCAGGTTGGACAATCTCCGAAATCTCAGTCACAATTTGTGCCCGCCGCCCTGGCCCTGCCCTTGGCTCCGGGCTCCCCGGGAGGAGCTGGAGAGCAGACCAGTGCCGCTCATCTGCCGCAGGGCGTTAGTGTGGTGGCCAATGCTGCCAGTCATGCCAATGTGGCCGAGGATGCTGGCATTGTGGTGGTTCAGTCCCATCAGCCACCCAAGGTCAATCCCGACACACATGCCGTCTTCGAGCTGAAGCCCATCCAAGCGGATGTCCAGCAGCCGGCCGTTAGCTTCTATCCCTTCGTGCATCCCTGGGAGGCGGTCCTGCCCGAGGACGAAGGTGACTATGACGAAGAAGATTATGACGAAGAGGACTACGATGACTTCTACTATGGACCTGGTGGCTACTATCGGGATCAGCCCGGCTATGTGGGTCTGGGTGAGTACGACGAGCATATTGTCAGCGAGGACCAACCGATATCAACCACAGCGATTTGGAGCACAAACGATGATAGCGATATTCATCCCGTAATCAATCAGGCCAACAAGCGGCCAAATCAGAACAAAAACAAGAATAAGAATAAAAATAACAAGAATAAGAATAAGAAGAATTCGAATCAGAAGAACAAGAAACGAGTGTCGCAGAAGAAACGTAAGGAGGAGACTGAGCAGAATCAAGAGTTGGTGACACAAAAGAAGAAGGTCAAAGAGCAGAAGGAGAAGGATCAAAAGAAGAAGCAGGATAAGGAGCAGGAGGTCCAGGAGATGCAGCAGGATCAGAGTCCCGTAGATGTTATCAAGAAGCCAGCTGCTATGGCACAGTCTTCTCTTAGCAGCAGCAGCAGCAGCATGTCTTCGGTTAGCAATTCTTCTGGCAGCAATTCTTCCGTTCAGAAGAAAAAGAAAAAGAAGAAGAAGCCCAGCAGCAGCAGCAGCAGCAATAGCAGGTAACGTTGAAGAGAGAGAGGGTTATCCCAGTAAAATATATGTTTAATCTTGCTCTATATCCTTGCAGCACCAGCCAGCGCAGGACCAAGAAAAAGAAGAAGCAAAGCAGCAGCAGCAGCAGCAGCAGCAGCCTCTCCTCCAGTGGCAACCGGCGTCGCCGTCCCAGTTCCAGTTCAAGTTCCAGTTCCTCCATCGGTGGCTATCGTCGCCGCCGGCCCCAGCTGACCCAGCAGCAGAAACGCCGCCAGCAGCAGACGTTGCAGCAACAGCGGCGACGCCGCAAGCAGCAGAAGAACAGACGTCGCATGCAGCAGCAGCAGCAACAGAAGCGCCGCAGGAATCGCAACAAGAATCGGCAATTCTATGGCGATGAGCCCATCATCAATTGCATCTACATCAACAAGGATCCGCCGACGACCACCACGCCGCGTCCCTTCTGGAACATTTTGGGCCGTCAGTCGGATGGCCAGAATGCCAAGGACGCTCAGGCTCCTGGCCAGGATGAGCCCGTAGATCCTGTGGCCAAGCAGGCTGTCCTTCAGGCCGTGCGACGCAACTTTGGCGAATTTGGTGGTCGCAAGCGCACCAACCTGCGTTTTGTGGCCTAGATAGAAAAAGGATATACCAAGGATAAGCCTCATTCTGAATTTTTTTTTTGCGTATTTATTTATTTATTGTAATGCAAGCAGTCAGTTTTTTTTTTATATATATATATATATTTTGTATGTACATCGAGCCGGTGATGAAAGTTTTATTTTAGAGACACGTGTGTGGACAACTTATTTGTGGGGCGTTGCATTCGGTATTATTGATTTCTGTCACGAGAGAAGGAGGAGGAGGGAAGGAAGACAATACAGGACAGAAGCAGGACCCAGAACGCAGGACATGGTCAGTGTGAGTGAAACGGAACAGGTGTGTAACCTGAATCTGTCCTGCACAGCAAGAAAGTGAATTTACTTTAAAACTTTGCTGCAATCAGCATATCCTTGGTGCTTTGAAAAAGTTCTAAAAAAAACCTTATTGGGGAGACTTTCCAATTCAATTTCTTAAGTTTTAGCTTAATTTGAGGACACATTTTTATTTAATTACAGCATTTAAAAGCACTTCTTTTTGTGTGTCTGCGTAAAAGTCTCCTCCGGTTGGACAGCTATGTCCTGGCCAAAAGGAAAATCAACCCCGAGAGGAGAGCGAGCAGAGTACTCCGCCGGATATATGCCTCACTGCACAGGCCAAACAATTCCAAACAATGGAATGGAGAATTGGAGAAGCGGGAAAATGAAGAAAAGGATTGCGAGCCAGGACTTGTTTTATGTCTTCCGCCACTAGATGGTGCTCTTCATGGAATTGAAATCGTGCTTCTATAATCCCTACACGCTTAAAGTATACCTCGGATATTGCACATAGAGAGCAGGCCATATATTTGAAATTTTATTAAAAACAACATTAATATTAAATCCCGAAATTAGGCTATTTGAAACCTTAAAATATCTGTTTTCCCCCACCTTTGAAAATTGCAATTGAATTATAGGATTGAATTGGAAATTGATCAAAAGTAAGCCAAAAATATATTCATTCTTTGAAACATTATTTATCGATATTTTTATATGATAATTTAGTTGACCAATTAAATTGGAAAAAAAACTTTAAGATCTGCCAAAAAAGCACTATTTTCAAGGATCGGAAATGATTCACAGCTTCACAGCATTTGAAGCTTCCAAATAAATTCTAATAACCAGCAAAAGTATAATTAAATTTCTCTAGGATATAAACGAATTGGTTGATGGTTCTTTAACTTTATTACTTTCAGTGCACACATGTGACTCATTTGGTGCTGTGTTTTGTCAGTTCGATCGATATTTTTTCGTGTCCAGCAGCAGCCAGGCATTTCGTGCCACCGGCGACCCACGAAAGTATCTACAAGATACACCCGCACCGCATTGCAGAAAAGATTACCAGCGATGGTCTGGCTTCCGCCCACTTTTGCCGTGCACCCCTCCCCCAAGTTTTCCACGGGGAAAGCTTAAGCTTCAGTTGCAAGCGGTATTCCTTTGGCTGTTCAAATAAAAAACGTGCACACACACAGGACTCAGGACGCGAAAACGGGACACTAAATCACAAGCAGCGATGACAAAGTATCCATTTTTTCTCGACCAGAAAACAAACATGAAATATAATATTTAGGATATGTATATATTGATATTAATTTATTTATTTAAATGAATATTTATTTTAGTTTAAAAATTTAAAAATGACTCCAATTTCTACATATTCTTATAAACTGCATACAAATGATGGGGTTCTTTACTTTCAGTGTGGGTAATAATTACTATAATGATATATATCCGATAAATTACAAGATTTTTCACAAGATTTGTTATTAAATTATTAGAAATTCGAAAGGTAATTTGTACGTTTTAATTAACAAAAGAAGGAAGATAATTTCATGACGCCTAAGTTTGTTTATCCTTGCAGTTTGCAAGGATACTACTATATAACAATATATAAAAATAAAAGAATATAATAATATATAATAATAATAGTTTAATATAATATAATGAAGATAAAAATACTTGTTGACATATCTCCATCATGGCAACACTGTTGCCAAGCCAGAAAAAGTGGGTGTGGTCGTGGTCGGGGGTTTACCTGGACTCGGGTGTCACCCCAATAGCGATTCAGTCCATACTTTTACCATTTGCAGCTATTGAGGACCGAAGGACCGCAGGACCCACGGACCCAAGGACCCAAGGACCCAAGGACTCAGGGACGAATCAACTTTGTCCGTTTCAGCAAGTCATCGTGCTTGCTTGGGGATCTAGGGATAAGGATACCCGGGACGGACGATGGTCGCAAAAAAGCGGGGATGTATGGGGAAGGAAGGAACTCTAATCTGTTGTATTCACATATGTGCTTGTAATTTATATATATATATATATATATATATATATATATATATATATAGTACACAGACTGACATGCAAAGTCATAGGCACATAGCCAAGTGAAGGTTTATTGTTCTTCACTCTGAGGAACCGAAAATATTTGAAAGCCTTCATGTTTGTGTTAATTAGGTAGAAACACTAATTTATTTTATAAAATATTATCTAAAAAATAGTATCCATCAAAACAAAAACACGCCAAACAACTAAAACAGGAACGCTTTCCGAATTGAAATTAACACATTTTTGACAAAGTTATGCGATTCTTAAGCTTTGATTGTCCTAAAAAGTATTCAAAAAATTGTGAAATAGAAATTTCGATTTTAAGAATATTGCAGAATATTAATCAGTGAAATCATAAATCATATATATTCTTGATCATCATTAACAGGCGAATCGTTCTGGCCATCTCAGGTAGCTTAACAAACATTTCCAATTTAAAAAAAATGAATGGGGTTACATCGTTAAAATCGAGAAAAATCTACAAAAATTTGAATTTCTTAACAAGTTTAATTTAGTATGAAGATTTGTTAAGCGCAAAAAAAAAAAACAAAAACCAAGTAACGCTTTCCGAATTGAAATTAATGCATTTTTGAAAAAGTTATGCGATTTTTAAACTTTGATTGTCCCAAAAAATATAATATGAAAAAATCGTTTTAAACCAAAATTATCAAATTAATTATGCCTCTGTAAGCCTCTGCCTCTCACTCTCTTTCTTACTCAAAGTAACATTTGGTTGGTCTGTCTCCCTCTGTCGCAGCTCTAGAGCTGGCGCTTACGCTCTATCTCACTCTGCTGCAGCTCTAGAGTTAGCTCTTTCCCTCTCGCTCTCTTTCTCTGTTCTCTTTGAACGGGAAGTATAAATAGAGGAGCTTCGATCGCCGCGACCTCAGTCTGTCCTAGGGGTACCTAGTGTTAACATCGTCAGTGATTGTGATAGTGATTAGCCTTCGACCTTAAAAATATGACGTGGCCAATGGAATACATCCGGATAACCAGGAAGAGATCTTCGATGAATCCATGTCAAAAGTTAACTCACGAGGAATATAATTCTACATCGGAAGGAATAAAGCAATGCCGAAAGATGACGTGTCCTCTACTGGGGTAAGTCTTTACTATGACAACTATATCATTATTATATTTTATACATTAAGAGATGATATAGGAGTGATCAGGCCTAGGTCTAGAATAAGATATGCCAGCTATGAATTTATTTTTTCATTAATTTACATGTTGCCATGGACAAAGATGACAAAGTTATGCGATTCTTAAACTTTGGTTGTCCCTGCATACTAAAAATTTAACTTTTTAAGATGACCAACTATTTTTTTTTCAATTTTTGCACATTTTGACGATGTAAATTTTAAATTTTTTTGAGAAAATTGGAAATACTTGTTTTGCTACCTGAGATCGCCATATTTTTTTTTATTTTTGTATACTAAATTTAACTTTTTAGGAGATCCAATTTTTTTAGATTTTTGTGATGCAACCCCTTGAATTTTTTTCAAAAAATTTGAAATGTCTGTTTTGCTACCTGAGCTGGCCAGAACGATTCGCCTGTTAATGCTGATCAAGAATATATATAATTTATAGGGTCGGAAATGGCTCCTTCACTATTAAAAATTACATTTTCCTCTGCAAGAATCCTAAAATCGGTATTTTTATTTGATAATTTTTTTAACACGATTTTTTTATATCATATTTTTTGGGACAATCAAAGTTTAAAAATCGCATAACTTTGCCAAAATGCCTTAATTTCAATTCGGAAAGCGTTCCTGTGTTAGTTGTTTGGCGCTTAACAAATCTGCATACTAAATTTAACTTTTTAGGAGATCCAAATTTTTTTTAGATTTTTGTGATGCAACCCCTTGAATTTTTTTCAAAAAATTTGAAATGTCTGTTTTGCTACCTGTGCTGGCCAGAACGATTCGCCTGTTAATGCTGATCAAGAATATATATAATTTATAGGGTCGGAAATGGCTCCTTCACTATTAAAAATTACATTTTCCTCTGCAAGAATCCTAAAATCGGTATTTTATTTGATAATTTTTTTTAACACGATTTTTTTTTTTTTTTTTTTTTTTTTTTTTTTTTTTTTTTTTTTTTTTTTTTTTTTTTTTTTTTTTTTTATATCATATTTTTTGGGACAATCAAAGTTTAAAAATCGCATAACTTTGCCAAAAATGCCTTAATTTCAATTCGGAAAGCGTTCCTGTGTTAGTTGTTTGGCGCTTAACAAATCTGCATACTAATTTTAACTTTTTAGGAGATCCAAATTTTTTTTAGATTTTGTGATGCAACCCTTGAATTTTTTCAAAAATTTGAAATGTCTGTTTTGCTACCTGAGCTGGCCAGAACGATTCGCCTGTTAATGCTGATCAAGAATATATATAATTTATAGGGTCGGAAATGGCTCCTTCACTATTAAAATTACATTTCCTCTGCAAGAATCCTAAAATCGGTATTTTTATTTGATAATTTTTTTTAACACGATTTTTTTATATCATATTTTTTGGGACAATCAAAGTTTAAAAATCGCATAACTTTGCCAAAAATGCCTTAATTTCAATTCGGAAAGCGTTCCTGTGTTAGTTGTTTGGCGCTTAACAAATCTGCATACTAATTTAACTTTTTAGGAGATCCAAATTTTTTTTAGATTTTTGTGATGC